TCAGGAGATTGAGACCATCCTGGCTAACACGGTGAAACCCCGTCTCTACTAAAAAAACCAAAAAATTAGCCAGGCGTGGTGGCGGGCACCTGTAGTCCGTCCAGCTACTCGGGAGGCTGAGGCGGGAGAGTGGCATGAACCCAGGAGGCAGAGCTTGCAGTGAGCCGAGATCACACCACTGCACTCCAGCCTGGGCAATGAGATGCTGTCTCAAAATAAATAAATAATAAAGTCTATTATAAACAACATAGGCCCAAAGTCCTGCAAAATTGCCAAAGGTCACTTTGACATTCCTATTTTATACCCAAATAAAAGCTGTTTTTGTTGATCACAAAATCAGAAAACACAGCTATGCAAAAAGGAGAAAACAGAAATTGAAAAAAAAAAAAAAGAAAGAAAGAAAAGAAAAAGCCCAGGTACGGTGATTCACGCCTGTAATCCCAGCACTTTGGGAGGCCGAGGTGGGCAGATCACGAGGTCAGGAGTTCAAGACCAGCCTGGCCAACATGGTGAAACCCATCTCTACTAAAAATACAAAAATTAGCTAGGCCTGGAGGTGCGTACCTGTAATCCCAGCTACTCGGGAGGCTGAGGCAGGAGAATCACTTGAACCCGGGAGGCAGAGGATGCAGTGAGCTGAGATGGCACCACTGCACTCCCGCCTGGGGGACACAGAGAGACTCTTGTTTCGGGAAAAAAAAAAACAAAAAACAAAAAACAAGAGAGCAAATCACTTGTATCATGTAAGCTGGACAGGACATGCCTTTCGGCCACAGAATGGGTTTTGAAGTCTGCTGAGAATTCACTAACAGATCTCTATTTCACTACCTCAGTTTCTATTGCTCATAATGTCCCTCATGAGGGCATAAGTCACTGTCAAGTTAACTGACCTCCTACTGTAGGTCAATTTATTTATACCCAAATAAAAGCTGTTTTTGTTGATCGCAAAATCAGAAAACACAGCTATGCAAAAAGGAGAAAACAGAAATTGAAAAAAAAAAAAAAAA